GGTTGGACAGGCTGGGACTTTTTTCACTGGAGTGTAGGAGATTGAGGGGTGACCTTAGAGGTTTATAAAATCATGAGGGGCATAGATAAGGTGAATAGCAAAGGTCCTTTCCCCAGGATGGGGAGTTCAAAACTAGGGGGCATATTTTTAAGGTGAGAGGAGGAAATTTTAAAAAGGACATGACGGCAACTTTTTTTACACAGAGAATCATTTGTGCGTGGAATGCAGGTTCAATTACAACATTTAAAAGACATTTGAATAGGTACATAAGTAGGAAAGGTTTGAGGGGATATGAGCCACGTACAGGCAGGTGGAACTAGTTTAACTTGGGAACATGGTCAGCCTGGACTGGTTGGAACGAAGGGTCTATTTGCGTGCTGTGTGATTCCTAGGCTGGGCCTAGGACACTACCCGAGTAATTGAAAGGGCTCTTGTGGCCCAGTGGTAGTGTCACTACCTCTGAGCCAGATTGCCCAGGTTTAAGTTCCACCTGCCTCACAGGTGTGTAATAACATCCCTGAGCAGGTTGTTTAGAGATATGTACCCTGAGTAACTCCTGCAGAGATGTCCTGGGGCTGAGATGACTGACCTTCAACTACCACAACCATCTTCTTATCTTCCAGATATATTGCAACCAGAGTGTTTCCCCTGATTCCCATTGACTCCAATTGTGCCAGGGCTCCTTGATGCCACACTTGGTCAAATTGATATCCAGGGTGTCACTTTCATTTAACCAACCTGTTCAAATATGTTATGATACACATCCATGGTAAGTGGGATTTGAACCCAGATTTTCTTTACCAGAGGTAGGAACACTACCACTGTGCCACAAGAGACTCCTTACAGTGTGAACGTCATGACATCTCCAGGGCAGATGGGGCTTGAATCTGGACCTACAGTCTAAAGACAGGCACGTGGACTGGTGCACCACATAAGCCCAGTTTAGTCTCCAACATAACTAAAGTCTCTCAAAAGTATATACTCCATGGAAAATTAGTCCAATACTCCCTCCTGTTGGGGCTAGCCAGTGTTTAGAAAGGCTTAGTATAACTGCATGCTTTATTATTGTCTTTGACTATGAAGTCATGAAGTTCCTATGCTTTGTTAATAATCTTTTGAATTTGTCATACCAACTGCAAAGATTTGTGTACGTGAACGAACACATCTCTTTGTTCCAGCACTTGCTTTAAAATTGTATCATTTTTGTACGTGTTGCTTCTTATTTCTACTTTCAAACTGCATTACATCATACTTGTATAAAGTTTCAAGTTCAACGTATCTCTCCATATTACCAGTCTGTCCCCGTCATCCTGAGTTGATTTTACAGTATTCTTATTACAACATTTCCAAATTTTGTCATTTACAACCTTTCAAAAGAATTGCCTTACAAAAACAAATATGCTCCTTTAACCTTTTGAAAGGCAGCAGAATGCCACTTCCTTCCCAGTAATGGGAAGGTTCTAATTCACAGGTATTACCATTTCATATTCTTATGGCCATAGCTGAGAGCAGCTCAAGGCAAAGGTAACGATGTCACTCCAGAAATGAGGCAACAGTATGAGAGGTGTGCTTCTTTTCATGCCTCACTTCTGATTAGAGATTGTACTTAAGCAGGAAATCTAATCCACTGTGCTTGAATATTGTATTTTCAGACCTGGAAATCAGTATTTGATGCCCCCAGGCCTGTCAATGCATCTACATTACTATTCTAGCATTCGAACAATGTACTTGGCAGATCTGGTGGAGTTGGACATTTCATTGTACCTATGTTCAACTGTTAAATAGGTATGACACAGAAGGGCTAGAAGCTAAAACGGCAGTGCATATCTCTGGTCACTTAGTGTTAATTCTTGGATTCATGGATATCAGCAAATTCTGGTGCAAAAAGACAGGGTGAGGTCATAACGTGTATCATGTGTAACTTCCTAAACCTTCAGGAGTCTTGTCATTTGATTTCATAACCGTTTTATGCTGTGTTAGTTGTTGATAATGCTGCTGTAACCTTCACAGCAGCACTTATGCTGAGGTGGGGTTCAGCTGCCATTCTGCAATATGTAACGAAACTCAGACACAGACTCCTAAGTGCATGCTGCAAACACTCTGATTTGCTTTGACAGTTCTGTATATGCTGGTAGCCCATCACATATCACCTCTGGTGCAGCCTCCATTCATCATCTTCTTGCAAAAACACAGAGCACTATGGTATTCCCATGAAGAAATAAACTATAACAAACACAAAGTGCTGGAGAAACTCAGCAAGTCTAGCAGCATTTGTGAAGAGAGAAGCAGTGCTGATTTTTCAAGCCTGATATGATTCTTCTTAGGAACAGAACAGATATATATGCTGGCTGGCAGCGCTTGATCTGATGCATGGCTGGAATTTAAATTTTGTGCCAGTAATCCCAGCAAAGTTGATTGTTCTGCCATTGCCGAGCCACGGTACATACGTAATGAGGTGAACTGCAGAGAATTACGAGAGATAATGCACTAGAATAACCTTTCATGAAACTCCCTGGAATTGACACTCACCCAATTTGTGGTAAAATTCAGCTCACTGTATTCCATCTGCCATGGTCTTGCCCAATTACAGCCCATCCAAGTCCTCTTGAACTCTAGTTGCATTGTCCTCATACGTTCTATGCCCAGCTAGTTCTGTGTCATCAGCAAATCTGAAATATTACATTTAATTCTCCCATCCAAATTATTTATCTAAATTATGAACAGCTGTGGCCTCGGCACTAGCTTTTGTGGTACACTACAGTTTACAACTGATCAGAAACTGAACTCAACCAGTCATAAAAACATTGTGGCTATAAGGGCAGATCAGAGGCTAGATATTCTGAGGTGAGCAACTTATGTCCTGCCTCATCAAAATATGTCCACCATTAACAAGCTGCAAGTCAGAAGTGTGATGAAATACACACCGCATAGTTGAAGCGTGCAGCTCCAACGACACTCAAGAACTTCAACACCATCCCAGACAAAGTAGCCTGCTTGATTGAACCAGCACACCATCTTCCCTCAATTCCTCCTCCACCATCAAAGCATAGTAGCAGCATTGTATATTAACTACAAAGTGCAAAACATCACCTTACCAAGGCTCCTTCAGCAGCACCTTTCAAACCCTTGACTCTACCATCTAGATGGACAAGGGTAACAGATGAATGGAAGCAACACCACAGGAAACTTCATGTTTGCTCCAAACAGTCCTGACCTGGAAATACATTGTTGTTCCTTCACTGTTGCTAGGTCAAAATTCTGGAATTTCCTTCCTAACCAGTAGGTGTCTGTGAGCACATGGACTCCATCGGTTCAAGAAGGCAGTTTACCACTTCTCGAGGGCAGTCAGCGATGGCCAATAAATGCTGACTTAGCTAGCAACAGCCACTTACTGTAAAGGAACTTATACAAATAGCCCTCCAACCCAAGAATGACTTGTTTACTCCTAATCGCAAATTTAGCATTTTTGATCTCCCTTCCTGTATACACCTTCCCACCAATTTTTGAATTCTTCAATTCTTACCTTTCACCCAGGAGGCAACTTTTATCCGCTGCTTTCTCTTTACTTCATTGTTCCACGCAACTCCTCTTCTTCCAGCTTTCCAGTCATCATTTCACTGTTGTCTTGCTTTATCATTTGTGTTTTGGATACCTTCAACCCCATCAAGTCATTCACCACCTCTCAACCATTACATTCTCAGGGATATGTTTCCATCTTTACACCCTCAGGTCTGACAGCCACAGGCTCAAGTGTATCCAAGCACATAACCAGTTGCTCCAACCACTGTCAAATGGACCACACTGAGCATAACCCATTTCCTAGTCCATGGACAAATCCTTTTTCTCCATCAGGTTCTCTGGAGGGCAAGGAAAATCAATAGCGTTTCAGAAAATTACTTATACTCCAATGCTGACTTTGACTTCTGACCACACCAGAAACTCTGCACCTTTCGCATCCATGACCAGCCCCAAACCCCACCCCACCCACCTGACAGCTTCCTTAACCTGGATCAGGCTGTTCGCTTTCACAGGGTGGCGAATTTCCGATTTCACGTTCAAATCCCTAAGACGTCCACCTCGAAACCTGTTGCTCGCTCTGCGCCATAAGTTATCCACATTGTCTCCAAAACTCTTATCCACAGCCCCATCGATGTTAACTGTCCCTCCAGCGGACACTCACCTGATGGCGGCCACGACATCTACCCGCCCCTGGGGTACGCACGGGGCCCTGTATGAAGGACAGTAGCCGGTGGATGGGCTAAGGAGAGGAAGGGGGTGGGGTGTTTGGCAGGTACTTACCCCTCGGGACGCCTTCGCCTCGCTCTGCACCAGCTGAAGGCGGGTTGTAACCGTCAAGTGCCCTCCCGTTCGACACGCGGCAGGCTGTGCGCAAGCTCGTGCACGTGGCGGACTGCAACGTCACAGCAGCACCGACCAATTGCACGTTAAAGCCCTTGCCCTTCATTCATTTCTTCGTTCATTCATCGAACAGGCTTAAGAAACCGGAAACTTACACTGTTATCAGAGCGGCAAGGACTTGGGAGCAAACACATACTCTTGAGGGAGTATCTGAATGCAGAAGGGTAGCGGTCAGGCTTAGCGAGGGAATTTTGAGTCCAGTGATCCTTTTTCAGAATTAATTGTAGCTAGGAAAAGGCGGGATAGAGGGACTTGGCGGTGCAGATTGCGCGCAACTAAATAGGCACAGATTTTGTGCTCAGCAGCGAAGCAAACATGCTCACCCGATGACCTCTAAGGAGGGACTTACCGAGCGATCTGATGTGAATATGTGTGAAATTGCCCAGTTTAGCAGAAAAGAAAATCCTCCCTATTTTTACCTCTCCCGATGAGCACCTCGTTTTGGCATGATTTAGCAGGGCTTCCAAGAACAAAGTTGCAGTTGTGTCATTAAAGCTGTGCACTCAGCCAATCGTACTAAATAATTCTCACAGACAGCTAGCGAGGATATGAAAAGCATTCATAATCGAAGCAGGTTCAAGGTTTACTAGAGAGAAATAAAAATCTTAATAAACATAGTGACAAAGCGGAAAAGTCGTGTTTTTTAAACGTCAATTTTTCGAAAAATGTAGTTTAGTAAATGCAGTAATGCATCATAATGGAGTCTTTACATTATGTATTTTAAGAAAAATCTGTTGTTCAGTAGTAATTATTAGTTAGAACACCGTTAAGAAACAGATGTCATTGAATAACGCTTATTTGAATACAGTGATATTAAAGGAGAAAAGGAAAGTTCTCAGCAGATAAAGTCATTTCACAGAGTTCTGACTCTAGTGGTGTTGGGCTTGAGTGTGCACAGCACAGCCTGTGGCACAACAATTAATGATATTTCTCAACTTCGGTGTTAATCTGTGCTTGTTAATATTGAAGCTATTTTTAATTTCAAATGAAATAATGATGGCAAACACTCATGGTTTCTTATCAAAACTACCAAAGTATCAATTAGTCCCACTACCTTGCTCTTTCTCCATCGCCCAAAATTATTCTTCTTTTTCACATATTTATCAAGTAGTTTTGTAAGTTACTATTGGACTTGATTCCACAACCATTGCAGTCAGTATATTCCAGGTCATGCCACCAGCTTTGTAATTTTTTTCTCATATCATCTTGGACTCTTTTGTCAAGTACCTTAACACATATTCTTTGATTGCTGGTCATTCCACATGTTGGTTTTGGTGGTGGGGTTTGCTGACACCACTGCTTTCTTGTGTCAGCCTTGATTAAATTCATGGCAGCGTGGCTCATGCACAACCTTCCCATGCTTAAGTGTGCAATTAATGCTGTCATCCTTCCCCTACAGCGACTCACCCGAGGACAGAAAAAAACTCAAGTATGTTAAACATCAGCTTCTGTTAACAAGCTGGTTTCCCTGAATTAACCTGCATTTGCCCTATGATAGTTTCCCTCCCTCTGAGCCAGGAGGCATGGGTTCAAGTCCCACCTGCTCCAGATGTGTATGATACCATCCCTGAACAGGCTGATTAAAAATACCCAAATGCTTTCCCATTGCCAAGGTGTAACTGGTTGGGCTAACATTTCCCTCTTTTGAACAAGGACATAATATCTGCAATTCTTGCATATTCTGATATCACCCCTCAGTGGAAAGATGATTGGAAAATTAAGTCTAGTGCCTTCAGAGTTTCCATTCTCACTTGAGTATTTTTGGATGCATGAAATCTGTCCTGCTGCATGGCAAAGTTTAAATGCGCACAGCCTATCCAGTACGTTCTTAGAATCATAGACTCGCTACAGCATGGAAACAGGCTATTCAGCCCAACAAGTCCACACTGACTCTCTGAAGAGCATCCCACCCAGTCTCACACCCCCATCCTATCCTAGTGACCCTGCATTTCCCATGGCTATTCCACCCAATGCACACATCCCTGGACACTATGGGCAATTTAGATTAGCCAATTCACCTAACTTGCAAATCTTTGGAAAGTGGGAGGAAACTGGAGCACTCAGAAGAAGCCCATGCAGACAGTCACCTGAGGCTGGAAATAAACCCAGATCCCTGATACTGTGAGGCAGCAGTGCTAACCACTGAGCCACCATGCCACCCCTTTTTATCAATTTTAAAATCTTTAAGTGTGTAAGCTATCTTGTCTTAGCCCATGATATGCAATGTCTTCTTCCTTGTTGAAGACAAAGACAGCATTTTCTTCCTTGTGCACAGCAAAGTCCCACAAAAATCAATGTGATAACTTCCAGAAAATCCTGTTTTTGTGATTGAAGATAAATATTGGCCACAATATCGAGGATAATTCACAAAATATTTTTCAGAGTAGTACCATAACATCTTTTATATCCACCTATGAGAACAGACAAAGCTTCGGTTTATTCTCTCATCCAAGGGCAACATCTCACATAGTCCAGTAATTACTCTCTGGTACTGCACTGGAGTGTCAGTCTTGAATTTTGTACTCATGTCCTGGAGTGACATTTGAACCAAATATATTCTGAATTAGATACACGAATGTTAAGAACAGAGATAAGACTGGAACAAAAACACAAGTTGCTGGAAAAGCTCAGCAGGTCTGGCAGTATCTGTGAAGAAAAAAATCAGAGTTAATGTTTCAGGTCTAGTCACCCTTCCTCAGAACTCTTTTGGTTTTTACAAGGCTGGAACAATGATTTTAAAGAGTTAGCTTGAATTTGGTAAGGTATGTCTAAGGAACCTAAAGGATTTTTTTGGGAAGTAACTACTGTATTTGGCAGGGAAATATCTAATGGATATAATTTTTCAGATGACTGACTAATTGGTATGTGTGAAATGTTTGACAGAAAGATCTAATTAAAAACAACAGATGTTGGTCATTAAGTTACACCCATGAGCTCTCAGGAATCATGTTCAAACTGGTGATTTTTTTTTTCTGATGTTTACATTGGAAAATTTGTTCAACCTTGCTGTAAGTCACTTGGAAGTAAGCAAAAGACTATTACTGACATTACTAGTAGATCTCACCACTACTAAGTGCTCAACTCCCTACAAGGTTCCAGAAGGCACTTCAAAAGTTGTTTCAGAAGGTTTTGTCCTCATTCATCAATTATTCACTATTAATGGCTTAGATAACACACTACAGGACCATACATGTAAGTTTACCAACAACACAGAATGGCGGCATAGTTTGTAATGTAGAATATAGCATTACAAAGCAATGATGAGGAAATGGTAAAACACTGGCAGATAGTTTTAAACACAGATAGGAGAGAAGTAATCTTTTTTGAATGAAAAGGAATATATTTAAGTATTTTGTGTGTCATTAATAACATGAAAAAATGAAGGCTTAATTAAATTGAGGGGACCAGAGGTAACTAACATTTGTCATAGCTGTACAAAGCCCTATTTAGCACAGTGTGTATAACTCTGTAGAGTGCACCTTAAAAAGGATATATTAACCTTCAAAAGACTGTAGTACAGATCACCAAGATATTCCTAGATTATGACAAGGGACTGCACAAACTAAGTTTGTATTCTTTTGTTCTTCTTAGCCAGTCCCTTAGGATCAAGGAAGACTTTCTTGAACTCCAGTGTTGTCAGCCCTAAGCTGATAAAATAGTCTAGTGCTAGATCCACAAATCCTACTGCAGATGGGGTACGTGGTGTTTGCTGAAGCAGATGGGTGTGATTCACAGATTTTTGCATTTGACCTCTATCTGGGCTTGTTGGAAATGTGTGAAATGGTTGGCAACCTCCTCCAGTTTGGACAGTCTTGGATTAGAGTTTCCCATGCATTTATTGGGGATATCGGGATGGCACAGTGGTTAGCACTGCTGCTTCACAGCACCAGGGACCTGGGTTTGATTCCAGTCTTGGATGACTATCTGTCTGGAGTTTGCACATTCTCCCTGTGTCTGCATGGATTTCCACTGGGTGCTCTGGTTTCCCAAAGTACAAACGTTTGCAGGTTAGCTGGATTTGCCATACTAAATTGCCCCATAGTGTGTCCAGGGGTGTGTAGGCTAGGTCACCCAGCCATGGTAAAAATGGTATTACAGGGGATGGGATGCTCTTTGGATGGTTGTTCCAGAAGGCTTTGAGGACACTTTTGAAGGATTTCGTCTGCCTTATTGTTAACCACTTTGTACAATGATGCCTAGAAAGCTTCTTTTGGTTGTTATGCGTCAGGCATTCAGCCAATGTGGTCTGCCCTACACAACTGATTGATTGTAACCAGTGGTTTGATACTGTGAATATTGGCCTGAAAGATGACATTGATATAGGAACACTTATGGGTGACATGATTGAACATTTTAGGATTTTTAAAAGGATAAGACCGCTGCTAAGGGAATCTCTTATCATGTATCCTTATCTTCAGAGTAAAGATTTTCAGGAAAGAAAACAGGAAACACTTCTTTATCCAAAGGAGAAAGCAGTCAATATTAGTTCAATTAATAATTTTAAATTTGAGGTCAAGAGCTAATGGTTAAGAGACATGAAATCTTGTTGAGTGAATACAGATCAATCATTGTTTCATTCAATCATAGACTAGAAAGACTGATTGGCCTCTGACTATTCCTACAATCCTCCCTTAATGATTTCTTTTGCAGTAGTGAAAACCATTTTTATTGTCATAACTATTCATTTTTCATATCCATATGAATCTTCTGTACTGCATATCCTTTCCATTGGTTCCAATGTGTTAGTGTACAAGTATACAGGTGACTAGAGTTAGCAATTTTAAATAGGCAATAAAAAGGGTGAAGATTTATAATTATTAAAGGAGACAAGTTATAGTTGCGATAATGTGATAAGTAATAGATTCTCGATTAAAAAACACTGTTTTCATGTGTTGCAAGGTTGTATCATAAATGCACAGATTATTTTTTCTGAATTCTCTATTGGTCCAATTCATAGTGCTGGCTGCAACACCCCGCCCCCCAAAGCTGGAACAGGTACCGAATCCTATGCTGTTGGCACCAATCTGACCAATATTTGCTGTCCAGCCAACCATCCCCAGCTGCTATCGCCTACACACACTTTTAGGTGCTTATTGTAGCCTGGAAGCTTTAAATATTGAGTGACGCTAAAGGCTGAAATTTCTTTTCGTATGATTACAATCTCCGTTCCTTGATTTATACTCGAACAGGTAACGATAAAAAGGTCTCCTTGCTCCACCATTCGATATAACGGATCAGCGCAGCTCAGAATCAAGGTGCGATGGCCTATTACTTAGCGTCACAGAGTTGAGTGGGTCCAGTTCCTCAGTACCACGGAGCGGGACGGGCCCAATTCCTTGGAGTCATTCTGCGGGATGGGCTACTTCCTCCGCGACACAAAGCGAGGCGGGACCAGATCCCGTGTGTCACAAAGCGGGGCGGGGCCGGTTTTTTTAGTGTCCCTGTGTGGGGCGGACCGGAACCTAAACGCAGAGTTGGGCGGGATCTGGTCTTTTGTGTCACGTGACGTGCTGGCGGTTGGTGGTCGGAGTGCATGCGCTGGATTCGCGAACATGGAGGATAGTGGAAGCTCGCGTCCAATGGCAAACCTCGATCACCCCCCCAACAGTCGGCTCTTTCTGGTCATCAGCAAATCGACATCGGAGGAGGTGATCCGAGAGAACTTTTCTTTCTTCGGTGATATCCAGGACATTTGGGTTGTGCGGGACAAACAGAACAAAGATCACAAGGGCATCGCGTACGTGAAGTTCGCCAAATCGTCGCAGGCCTGTAGAGCGATGGAGGAGATGCACGGCAAGGCCTTAACGGAGGACACCAAACCCATCAAGGTATGTTCTAGCTGCTACCTTAATTTCTGCTAAATGTGGAGCTAGCTTTCGACTCTGACCGCACTTGGTCATGGGCCCGAGTGAATGAGATGGGAAGGCCGAGCTTTGCATCTCTCCCCGGTGAGACTGGAGCATGTTAATCTGGTTACTAACAACCTTCTGATCCTTGTTTGTAAGATTTTAAGATTTTATGTTGCAGCCAAAACCAGTTGGACTCAAATTGTTGTAGTCTTGAAAAGCCTTAGACCATAGTTTCGATCCCGTTATTTTAGCAAAAACGAAATTATATTTTGAGTAGAGAGAGAGAAAAGGCGAGGGATTCATTAACGGTACTTGACCGAAGATGAACGCCGATCGACCTGAGGAAATGAAAACACCTGGCTTAGATAAACGAGGGCGAATATTTAGAACGTAAGAACATAACATAAGAACTAGGAGCAGGAGTAGGCCATCTGGCCCCTCGAGCCTCCCCGCCATTTAATAAGATCATGGCTGATCTTTTTGAGACTCAGCTCCACTTACCCGCCCACTCACCATAACCCTTAATTCCTTTACTGTTCAAAAATTTATCTAGCCTTGCCTTAAAAACATTCAGTGAGGTAGCTTCAACCGCTTCACTGGGCAGGGAATTCCACAGATTCACAACCCTTTGGGTGAAGAAGTTCCTCCTGACCTCAGTCCTACATCTGCTTCCCTTTATTTTGAGGCGATGCCCTCTAGTCCTAGTTAGCGGAAACAACCTTCCTGCCTCCACCTTATCTATTCCCTTCATAATCTTATATGTTTCTATAAGATCTCCCCTCATTCTTCTGAATTCCAATGAGTATAATCCCAGTCTACTCAGTCTCTCCTCATAATCCAACCCTGTCAACTCTGGAATCAACCGAGTGAATCTCCTCTGCACCCCCTCCAGTGCCAGTATATCTCTTCTCAAGTAAGGAGACCAAAACTGGACACAGTACTCCAGGTGTAACCTCACCAGGACCCTATACAGCTGCAGCATAGCCTCCCTATTTTTAAACTCCATCCCTGTAGCAATGGCAGACAAAATTCCATTTGCCTTTTTAATTACCTGCTGCACCTGCAATCCTACTTTTAGCGATTCATGCACAAGGACACCTAAGTCCCTCTGCACAGCAGTGTGCTGCAATTTTTTTGCCATTTAAAACATAGTCCATTTTGCCGTTATTCCTACCAAAATGGATTTCAAAAATTTGAAGGTGCAGACCTTTGAAAGGTAACTGTTTATTTCATTACACTAAGTGATGGAAATGCTTAGCTGGCCCAGTGACATCTGTGGAGCGAGGAAAAAAATAACTTGAGTTGAATATAACTTTGCCCAACTAAAGGAGGGTAGAAATAGAACCTCAGCCACCACTCCTTGCCATAGGACCTTGGCAGTTTTCCAACCTTAAAATGATCAATGAGTAGTAGAGGGGTTGGGAAGTTTTGCATTACACCTTTCTGAACTCAACATTGAGTCTAACAAAAGAATAAAGAACTTTGGATTTTGGAAATCTGAAACAAAAACAAATTGCTGGAGAAACTCAGCAGGTCTGGCAGCATCTGTGGAGAGAAAGCAGAATTAATGTTTTGAGTTTAGTGACCCTTCTTCAGAACTTGAGTTCCAGTCAAGGGTTACTGGACTTGAAACATTAATTCTGCTTTCTCTCTACAGATGCTGCCAGACCTTCTGAATTTCTCCAGCAAATTACGTTTTTGATCAAGTCCAACAATTTTAGACTTTGAACTCTGTGCCTCGTTTTCATTGTTTTCCTGCCATTCCCTAGCTTGAACATTTTGAATTATTTCTTTGTTTACTGGTTTTTTAAAATTGTGGGCTTATCTTAAAGCTTTGCCAGCTTTCATGTCATACCTCTGTAATTGGATTTAAGTCTGCAATTCTTCGTTGGGACTGGAATTGGTCACTTACAAACTTTGTGTGGAATCCGGTTTGATTACAATCACTTTTCTCCAGGCAGGTGTAGACAGGTTCTGAGTGGACAAAAACTTGGCAGATAGAGCATAATATGGGAAAACGTAAAGTTTTTTTAATTTTGGCAGGAAGAATAAAGCAGCACAATATTGCTTAAATGAAGAACAACTGTGTAACTCCAAGGTGCAGAGGGATTTGGGTGTTCTAGTACATGAGTCACAAAAAGTTAGAATGTAGATACAGCATATAATCAAGGCTAGTGTGAAGCTATCCTTTTATTATGAGAGGAAATGGATGTAAAACTAAAGATGTTATTGCCTTAGTTACACAGTACAGTGATGAGACTGCATCTCAAATGCAGTGTGCATTCTTGGCCTCTTTACTTGAGGAAGGATGGAAATGCATTGAAATTGGTTCTGACGAGGTTTGAGATTGATACCTAGAATAAGTGGGTTGTGTTATGAAAATGGGTTGAACAGATTTGTCGTCTTTACACTTGAGTTTAGCAGAGTGAGGGGTAACTTGAAGCGTAAATTCTTGAATAATCTTGATAAAGTAGACATGGATAAGTTGTTTCCTCTTGTGGATTAGCCCAGAACCAAGGAGCACTGTTTTAAGGGTCACCCTTTCAAGACAGAGATGAGAATTTTTTTTTAAAGAGTTGTGTGACTTTGGAACTCTGTGCATCATAAGTGCTGAAGGTGGAGTAATTTAACGTTAGACAATAAAAATCAAATGTTATTAAGGTAGATGGAAATATGAAATTCAAAACACAACAATGGTTTTATTGAATGGCGGAGCATGCCCAATGGGCTGAATAGTCCACTTCTGCCCCTTTTCCGTATGTTCATATAAACAAAGCAATCACTAATCCTGTCTCAAAGTTGAAAACTAATGAAATAGCTTAATCCCCGATTGTTTCCGCAATATATTATTCTAGGAAAATACAGGAAAGCATAAGTCATCTTCTGTAACACCTATGCCAATTTTATTTGCCAAACTATATGAAGCTGAAAGTCTACTCACCAGTTAATACATTGAATTATTGTTTGTTCTCTGTCCAAATATATGACTACATTTAGGGGACCTATTAGTTATTCCTCTCCACCTATCCTCTCCTCTATCCATCTTCTATCCGCCTCCCACTCTCTCCCTATTTATTTCAGAACCCCCTTCCCCTCCCCCTTTTCTGATGAAGGGTCTAGGCCCGAAACGTCAGCCTCTCTGCTCCTATGATGCTGCTTGGCCTGTTGTGTTCATCCAGCCCTGCACCTTGTTGTCTCGAGTTATTCCTGTTGGTGTTTTCTGCTTCATTATGCCAATTTACCTGATTCCACAGAGATGAAGCCCACTTCTTCTGAGTAGGTGCCTGGAGGCTCAATAAGGAAGCTCATAATCTGAAGTCCTCTCTTCTGCTTCATACGTAAAGCCATCTTCCTAGGGAGAAGCCACTTCAAGATGCTACCTTTTAACTTCCTAGCTCCAGAAAATCTGATTGCGTTAGTAATGCCCTTTACCTTGCCTCTATTCTGGCACCACACTATGGCAGACTTGCAGAAATGCCTATCTGTACCCCAGCTGTGGAATTTCCTATAATGGTTGCTTTTCTTGTCCTTTGCTCCCTTTATGCAGTCCATTGCCAATTGGTGCCTTGATCCAGTCTACATTTTTTTCTTGATGTTGAGTCTCATCAAAATCCCATGCTGCTTAGCAGTTTGAGGTACACCTTGAGAATTCCCTCATTTCTCATGCAAGTCTGCATTACCACCCATCTACCCTCTGCCTCCCAGCCTGTTGGGGTGGCGTCTTCATGGAACGTGATGATCTGGTCTCGCCAGGCTCCAGAATCTCCTGGTCTCAGCCTTGCTCAAAATAAGGGGCTAAGATCTGAGGAATGGAACCAGCTCTCACTTCCATCCAGGTTGTTATGATGGGAGGAAGTTATATATTTCATGCTGGGCTACTCCTTTATACTTAAATTCTCTGTGCACTTGTGCATATGAAGATATAGGCAGTCACAGATTTTTAACTGGGCTGGTAGGAAAAGGCATTGAGGGTGTCACAAATTTTATTCCAGTTATGGAATCCATAGGTACAATTTGTTGTTTTAGCAACAGCTGACTATGTCTCTGCTGTCGAAAAAAAAAGGAAGTAATGTACTGCAATAACAAAACAGGTGTTTCATTGCAGTTTTTGGTATTGAACTAAAGAATCTTGAGGTTGGTTGGCTCGCCGAGCTGGTTTGTTGTTGAACAACAAACCAGCTCAGCGAGCCAACCAACCTCAACACCCACAACCCGAACTACAGATCTACTTCAAAACCTTAGGAGCGAAAGAATCATACAGTAAAGAAGAGGCCTTTCAGTCCGTCATGTCTATACTGCCAAAATTACTACCTGCACTAGTCCCACTTTCCCACACTAGGCCCTTAGCGGTTTAAGACAAGGTTAGCGCTTGGAATATCACAGAAATTTTACAGTGCAGAAGGAAGCCATTCAGCCCATCAAATCTGTGCCAGTTCTCAAAATCTGTCACTCATTGGTTGCATTGTCCTACTGTTTCTCCATTATCTTGCACGTTGTTCATTTTCAAATAACCATCTAATTCACTTTTTAAATACTTTGATTAAATGTCTCCTCCAGACTTTCTGACTGTGCATTCCAGATCATAATCACTCAATAGTTTTATTACTGATATCAACTTTTTTCTAATAATTACTTGAAATCTGTGCTTTCTCATTCTTAATTCTTTAACATGGGAACATTTTCTCCCTATATGCTGCCCAGTTCTCTTATACTGTCAAAATATGTAAACATATCAGCTGAAAATCAAGTGATTCCTGAGGCTTTTTCTGCTTTAAAATGTAATGTTTGTTTGGAAAAGAATTAAAAGGGGGAACAATTCATAATTCAAAAATACTCTAATTTTATAGAGAAACCTTGTAAAAGATGTGTGACCATCGTCCCATCACCACATCAGCTGTTCAGAAAAAGAAATAAAATAATTTAGTACAAATGAAACTTTAAAAATGAGTCTTCTAGTTTTTTTCCACAGAGCTTTCAAA